AATATACCTTTCGATTGGCACAAAACCCTTGAAATTTGTATTTTTGATGCATTTTCGCAAAACAACAATTTTAAATTGGATACAAATATTAGGTGCACAAAACAGTTTGTCTTGTAGCTGTGCGGTTTATTTTGGCCAGGTTACAATCAAAAAAGGCTTCGACGATCTCCATTATTTCTCCAAAAGTAAAAATCATGATTTACCACCAATAAGTACCTATGTATATTTGGCCCAAAAACTGCAGTATTTTGATCTTTATACTATTAAACTAATAAAGGTAACACTGTCCTACCAATCGACCAAAGGCATCCGAGTGATAGCTTGAATTCGAATTCGAATCCGATTCCCAAGCTGCGGACTGCGATTGAAACCGAGAATGAAGTGAAAATGTGACCGAATGTAAATTCTTTTAATTTTATTGCCAACGCTGGCTGTTGGCTGCTGGCTGATCTAAGAGCCGACTGAATGCAGTCGCTGGAATTCGCTGGCACGTTCTTTGGCCGTCGGTCGAACGGTCGAATGGTCGGACGGTCGATCGGTCTGTCGGATGGGTTAAACGAACGCTCGCTTGGCCTATGAAAGATGTCAAGGTATCTGTAAAATTCGTATTCGATTTCGTACGCCAATCACATCCATTCCGTCGTGCTCGCAGTCGAGTCACAAATGTAAATCACACGAATCGCAGCGAACAAAGCCCACTAATTGCCGAAGTCGCAGTTTTTTTTTGGGAGACGCCAGATGCGCTCTGCCCTGCCCTGCCCTGCCCTGCCCTGCCCTGCCCTGCTCTGCCCTGCCCCGCCCCCTTATGAAAATCTGGATCGGATGACCATATGGGCAGCTTGATTTAACTTGATGCGTCGGCGAATTCCAGCGCCGACTGCCGGATGCACTGCCTCCACTTGTCGTATAGAGCTTAGTCAGCTGGGGTGTCCAACTCCAAGTCGGTGTCTTAGTGGAAAAGTGGAAAAGCGCTGACAGTCGGTGAAAGAGCAGACGAGGGCCTGGCCAGCGGCTCTGGGGGCTCAACCTTGGACTTTGCCAACCAATTGCGAGAGATGCTCCATTAATGTCGCAAAACCATCGGACGCAGCACATTTGGATGGGCTTGGATTACCATTCCATTCGCGGCGCGTGCCATAAAGCCTCGTCGCATAGAAGCACACACACACACACACACACACACACACACATATATATGCTGGATGAGTGTATAAACATTGGAATTGGGTTAAAAAATAAAGCATGCAAACTACCTTGACACATATTTTTGCACTGCAGCCGCAGCAGCAGTTGTTTGCTTTTGAACAAATATTGGGTGTGCAAAGAGTAAACATAACATAAATGGGATGCGGTCATACAGAAGGAAAAGAGACAAAGGATGAGGGGGCGGTGATTGAGGGGGTATTGAGGGGGTGGTCATCCAGCCATATATAGTACAAGCCAACCCAACCCCCCCCCCAGTATCAATATACCATATGCTGTTGCAACTGTAATAAAACGCTTGACGAAACCCGTGTGTCGCACTGTGTGTGCCTGATAAGAGAACGCGAATACGCCACGTGAGCTGGGTGCCATGAGGTGACCCCGATTCGATTCAATTCGATTTCGATTTCGATTTCCAGTTCCAGTTCCAACACACTCCGAAATTTCGTGCGCAATGCGCTGATTAGACGCATTATATATCAGCCTGAGTGAATGAGCGTGTGGAAATATGCGTCGAGCGCTATCTCTTTGCCTGAATGTGACCAACTCAACACACAATCTCAGTGGCTTCTTCGATCTTCGAGGCTCCATCCTTGGGGGTTCCATTTACCATACCACACACTTGAAAAAACCGAAAGGGTTTTTTTTAGCAATTCAAACTAGTTTTTTAAGCAGATCACTTCTAGGCATAAGTTGATTTAAAATGAATGCAATATAACTAACATGGCTATTTGGAAAGACATTACAGATCTTTTGAATTCTTGATAAAAGGTGACATATTTTAAAAATGCATAGCTCTTATTGAAATAGTTGTTTTTAATTTTTACTCAATTATAAAATACATTCCGATAACTGTTTTAAATTTTAAACAAAAAATGCTGTTTCTAGTTCGTATTTTAATTTTGATCAATTATATGTTACATATCATTTCAGGATTTTATTGTTATAGTCAAGTTAGGCTTTTGGTGATCCCGACCATTTATGTGGCCAAATCCAGTCTTTTCTTGGCTCTTCTTTTTTTTTAACCAGACTGCCCAGTCAAAAGGCAGTCAAAAGAGTTTAAAAATAATTCAGGCCGCGTTGACAGCCAGCATCCGCTCGCTGTCTTTGGGTTTGAGGTTCTGGTTGAGGTTCAGGTTCAGGTTCAGGTTCATGTCCTTTCCCTTTGCCATAGGATGTTGCCCCGACAGGCCAATGATCTTGGCGTCTGTTGAACCGTCTGCCACTCAAGAACTGATGGACTGATGGACTGGAGCGCTGGACTGGACTGGACCCAAGTGTCTGGACAATGGAAAGGTTCGGCGACCGCTGCACGCAGCCAGATCTCTCTTTCGCCCCGTTGCCACTGGCGGGTCATTAAAACGTACAGGTAAATTTCAAGTTAATGCCACGGCTGGGGCGGCGATCCCACTGATCGTAGATCTCGATGCCCTGCTCCTTTGTCCGGCCCTGTCCGAGGAGTCAATGGCCGGCGGATCTATTTTAGCGCATGCCATTGGCCCTGAACTTGTTTGTCCAGCCTCGCGAGCCCTTTCCACTTCCACTTCCACTTCCTTTCTTATTTCGTATTTCTCATACTCAATCCCATTCGCAACTCGCAATTCGCCATTTCATTTCAGAAGTTGCAGCACATGACATGAGTCAGAAGACCCAGCAGGCTGCTGGAAATCCCCAGGCCAAAGGGACTTATCCAAGAAGCTTCTTGTATTTCCCACACAGAAAAAAAAACCAAGGTAGATTACAGTATAATATTCGTGGAACAATAGAATGTTTTAATAATATTTAATCAGGGATCGTAACTATGGTAATTTTTATAAGCAAAACGCACAAATAATCTTTATTTTAGATCTGAATCTGAAGTGATTGTTATTTTAGATCTTATTATGAATAAGATCTGAAAAAAGTTACATGTGTCTTATATTTTAATCTTAAATAATCGTTATTATACCCTTGCAGAGGGTATTATAATTTCAGTCAGAAGTTTGCAACGCAGTGAAGGAGACATCTCCGACCCTATAAAGTATGTATATTCTTGATCAGCATCACTAGGCGAGTCGATCTAGCCATGTCCGTCTGTCCGTCTGTCCGTCCGTCTGTCAGTCTGTCCGTCTGTCCGTCTGTCCGTCCGTTTATATGCAAACTAGTCTCTCAGTTTTAAAGCTATCTGCATGAAACTTTCCCAAAAGTTGTCTTTCTATTGCAGGTAGTATATAATTTGGAACGAGCCGGATCGGACGACTATAGCATATAGCTCCCATAGGAACAATCGGAAAAATAAATGAAAAAAAATTATAACTTTGCTGTTTTTTAATTTTTTGTTTAGTTCTTCGACATTTAGTAATGGTTAAACATTTCCGATTTGCGGTTTAAATTTCATCAAAATCGGACGACTATAGCATATAGCTCCCATAGGAACAATCGGAAAAATAAATGAAAAAAAATTATAACTTTTCTGTTTTTTATTTTTTTGTTTAGTTCTTCGACATTTAGTAATGGTTAAATATTTCCGATTTACGGTTTAAATTTCATCAAAGTCGGACGACTATATCATATAGCTCTCATAGGAACAATCGGAAAAATAAATGAAAAAAATTATAACTTTTCTGTTTTTTAATTTTTTGTGTAGTTCTTCGACATATAGCAATGGTTAAATATTTCAGAATTATGGTTTAAATTTTATCAAAATCGGACGTCTATATCATATAGCTCCCTCAGAAATAATAAAAATATATAAAATAACTATCAAATAATTGAGCTGCAAATCATCATAGCTTCAATGTTTTTAAACATATACGAAAGTAAATCATAATTTTAATGTTTTCAAAAATGTTTAATTCTTGCAATAGCTGCAAGGGTATATGAACTTCGGCTTGCCGAAGTTTGCTTTCTTTCTTGTTTGGTATTTTGGTATTTTTGTTAATAACAAACTCATAAATTTGCTCCTCAGCTTACTTGGTATAAAAATCAGTTAGAGTGGACCACTTAATTTAATGGTTTCTCTTATGATCCATACGAACCCTATTTAATGGTTAAGCCCATTTAGTACTTAACCATATTTTCTTCATATTTTATTATATCTGCTCATATCCGATCCAGATCACAAACATTTTTCTTTATCTGCTGGGGTAAACCCAGCCAATTTCTTAGGCCTCCTTCTGGTTGCCAGTGGCTTAGGTAAACCCATATTGAAACCAATTCAGCAGTCCACGAAATTGAGGAATACACAAGAAAAGTGCAAATGTGGCAGATATAGAAATGGAAAGGTAGTCGATTGAATAAATGTATGCGATGTTAGGTAGTTGTCTGAATGGGCCAGCAGGGTAGCTGGATACCCTGGATTTGACCAGCCATATATGTATGGTATATAATCTGACAAAAAATGTATTGTTATATGTTTATGAAACAATTCATTAGTTTTAGTAAAAATAATCTTAACGATAATTTGGAAAAAATTACCTGACTAAAGTACATGTGGAATGTGGTTTTGTAGGATATTTGCTTATATGTAAATATATATACTCATAGCTATTTAGACCATATTTGGGTAATTATTCCTAAAATGTTGGATTTTTGCTTGTTTTCTAAGGGTAAGTTCCAAAAGGTAACTCAGTGTTTCAAACTCAGTCAGCCAAGATTGTTGTTGAGTGGGTGTAATGAATGTGCATATGATAAACATCCGTGTGGCCGGGAATGATTTCATTTTCAAATTTTTACTTTCGCACTCTCCTTCTTCGCAGTCGCGGTGGCAATCGCTGTTGAAAAACCCAAAAATACCAGGCTCTGCCAGGGTATGGCCGATGATATTGCTGATTCTACCATTGTCTGGCGGCCTTCCTCCGTTCCCGTTGCCGTTGCCGTTGCCGTTCTTGTTCCTCCGTTCCTCCATTGACCCGCTGACGTAGACAGACGTCGCCGCTGCCCTGTTTGCATTTCTGGCCGCGAGGAGAGACTCGTTTCAAATTCTAAAGAAATTCCAGTAATCGCAGAGCTCTGCTGGCGACTGGACGTCGGGACTCGAGAGGCTCTAATAACAGGCAAAAACAGCAAAAAAAAAAAAAAAAAACAGACAACCAGGCAAGCAAACAGGAAAACAGGAAAAGAACAGGGTAAAAGTGAGAGTGAGAGTGACGGCGAGCGGAAAGCGGAAAGCGAAAGTGATGTCGGCCATCATCGTGGACATTAACTACACCGGTTGGATGCCCTCGGTGCAGTGCCTCAGTTTGCTGGTGGTGCCCTCGCTGCTCATCCTGGTGATCCTCTATCTGTGCGAGCACCAGTACGATGACATACTGGGCGTCTCGCCACCTGGACCCTGGGGTCTGCCCATTCTGGGCTATCTGCCCTTTCTGAGCCGCCGTGCGCCGCACAAGTCGCTGCAGGCACTGGCCAAACGCTACGGTGGCATCTTCGAGCTGAAAATGGGCAATGTGCGTACCGTCATCCTGTCGGATGCCACTTTGGTGCGGGACTTCTTTCGCCGTGATGTGATGACGGACCGGGCGCCGCTTTACCTCACGCACGGAATCATGGGCGGATATGGTGAGCACTGTCCTAGCTCACTTTTCGAACTTTCTCATCCTCCGGATCCGCAGGCATCATCTGCGCCCAGCGCGACATCTGGCGACATGCGCGCCGCGAGGTGATCGACTGGCTCAAGGCCTTGGGAATGACCCGTCGTCCAGGGGAACTGCGTGCCGGGCTGGAGCAGCGCATCTCTCGGGGCGTCGACGAGTGCGTCCGGGTAAGTGGCTCCCCTCCATTCACTCTTTGCTGACCAATTACTACCAACCAAAAAAAAAATGTAATTTAATTTTAATGAGAAATTCTACACACCCAATCATATATACTTTATGTGGCTGTAACTTAAAACCAATAACTTTTACCTTTTGTTCTTTTATCAAATAATTTTCTAAATCTGCAAGTAATGAGTATTTAAAATGGTATATTGATTATTCTAGATGGTATATCAATAAAATAACGATAGACCTAATTTAGTCATCTATTAATAAATAATGAGTTAAGCTTAAATTCGTTTAAGACAACTATTATAGTTTGCTGTTTTAAAAGACAAAATAAATATTCACTAGATTATAACGATTACTTCATTATTAGTTTGCATTAATATTTTATGGCTTTTAATTTTGTGGAAATTTTGTTTATTTAAAATTACAAATTTGTAAAAAAAATTAATAAGTTTTTAATGATAGATGATAGTACTTTATGAGCTGAGTTTTCCATGATTTAAGCCAAAATAAGTTTACAACATAATCTTAAATGGTATAGTACTTATACTCTAGGGAAACCAAGTTAGTGATGTTAAAATTGCCCACTCTTTTGCTCCTGCAGCTCTATGAGGCCGCGGCGAAGAACAGCAGTTCGTCTGAGTTCAATCCGCAACCGGATCTGCACCACTCGCTGGGCAACATCATCAACGACCTGGTGTTCGGGGTCACCTACAAGCGGGACGACCCCGACTGGCTGTACCTGCAGCGGCTGCAGGAGGAGGGCGTCAAGCTGATCGGCGTGTCGGGCGTGGTCAACTTCCTACCCTGGCTGCGGCACCTGCCCGCCAGCGAGCGCAACATCCGCTTCCTGCTGGAGGGCAAGGCCAAGACACACGCCATTTACGATCGCATCGTGGAGGCCTGTGACAAGCGGCTCAAGGAGCAGCTGAAGTTGCACCAGGAGCAGCAGGAGCTGAGGCGACAGCAGAGGCGGCTGGAGAGGGAGCTGGAGAGGGAGCAGCAGAGGCAGGAGGAGAAGGCGAAGGAGGTGGAGTCTGGTCGGGAAGGGGAGCCAGAGGAGAAGAGGCCGGAGGAGGAGCCCCTAAACTGGTAAGAAAACATACCAAGTTCAAGCTTAATTTCAAACTTAATTTTCTCTAATAATAACTTAATAAATGTTATATTAAATATTAGATATCAAATATAAGATTTTGTTTATAATAAACAGATATTTATTTTTAACATTCCTTTTTTTCAACAGTGTAGGAAACCCAGGAGAGAGGCCAAAAGGGGAGACAGAAGAGGAACCTGCTGGAAAGCCAGAAGAGGAGCCAGAGGAGAGTGACGAAGATGAGGACGAGGAGGAGTATGAACCGCGGTGCATACTGGAGCACTTCCTCATCCACCGGGATCCGGACTCGCAGCTCTACTGTGACGACCAGCTGCGCCACCTGCTGGCCGATCTGTTTGGGGCCGGAGTGGACACCTCACTGGCCACATTGCGATGGTTCCTGCTCTACTTGGCCAGGGAGCAGCGCTGCCAGCGGCGCCTGCACGAGGAGCTGCTGCCGCTGCAACTGGCACCCAGTCTCGAGGAACTGGAGCCGCTGACCTATCTGAAGGCCTGTATTTCGGAGACGCAACGCATCCGCAGTGTGGTGCCCCTGGGTATTCCGCACGGCAGCAAACAGGACTTCACCATTGGTGACTATCACATCAAGGGCGGATCGATGATTGTGCCCCTGCAGTGGGCAATTCACATGGATCCGGTGGCCTTTCCCGAGCCGGAGCAGTTTCGCCCCGAGCGATTCCTTAGCCCCGAAGGAGCCTACTCGGCGCCGCCGCAGTTCATCCCCTTTTCGACGGGCCAAAGGATGTGCCCCGGCGACGAGATGGCCCGCATGATCCTCACGCTCTTCGCGGGTCGCATCCTCAGGCGGTTCCACCTGGAGCTGCCCCGCGAGGGCGAGGTGGACATGGAGGGCGAGAGTGGCATCACCCTGACCCCCGCACCCCACAACTTGCGATTCACCAAGCTGCCGGCAATCTACTTGCGCCAAGCACCCGACGGCAAAGTGGAGGAGAACTAGGCTGGACAAGCCTCTATTTTATCCCTATTTTTTTTTTACTTCTGTAACGACAGTATATTATAACCTTTTTTGTATGATGGACTATAGATTGGGTATTTTATTTGGGTTTGCAAGAGAACTTTTCCTTACACTTTTACAAAGTGTGGAATGGTCAAAAATAAATAACTGGTTATTGAAATGTTTTATATAATATGTATATATATAAATATATTTTAAATTCAATGCATATTAAATTAATGAGGAAAATATTAATTTTGTTTCAGTTTATTATGTTTAAATTGAAATTAAATTTTCAAAAAATTAAAAAATTGTTGGAATAAAGTCAAATGAAAAATTAAAAAAACCGTAATATATGAAAATAAAAGTTCTTTTTACCAGTGTAGGTATTTAAAATCTTATTTCACAAATTCGCAAAAATTGCATTTACCTTGTAAAGTTTAATTCGATTTTTAGATTTTAATGACTATAAAACTGTCAAAAGTTTTCATGAAGTTTAATAATGAAAGCTGAAACTTAAAAACGTTTCAAACGTTACAAACTCTTCAAAAAATCAATGTGTTTCAAATAATGTCCGTTTTTTGATATTCCGGTGGCTTAAAAAGTTTGGGTTGTTTTGAACTATGTTGCCAAAATAATAAGAAGGCTTGGCCATATATCTTTTTAGAGAGTTTCGTTGCTTATAAAACCAAAATTCTCCCGATTTGTAGTGGCTTACATTCCCGTAGCTAGAAATATCAATTGTGTGCCCTTCAATAAAATATTTCAAAAGGGTTTTGGCCCAGTTTTTGTTTTCAAGTTTTTTTCACACGTTTCTCTTTATTGCGAATCGTTTGCCTATTTTTTGATGTGTGCTTGTAAGACTAAACCACAGTTTGTTTTGTTGTTTGTTGTTTGGACATTAAGCTAGCACTAATACTAGGAATAAACAAGAACGTTAGCTAACTACACTTAATCGGCCTGCTGGCTTTACACATAGCAATATGTATCCTAATATTAGCGGCAATAATAATAATAATAATAATAATAATAATAATAATAATATTAATAATAATATTAATAATAATAAAAAACATTAACATTAGCAATAGAATCGAACGTAACTAGGGTGCATATAACTAGGGGTTGTTTTGTAATTACAATTAGTTGAACACAGCTTCTTGGGGGTGAAAGAATAGAATTGGTTGCAGTCCTCTGTGTGGGTTGGTCACAGCTTCTGGCTGCTCTGCTCCCTGTCTGGCCGGGATCTGGCCAGGACAGGATCTGCTCCTCCCGCGGGCGGATAACTACTAACTTAAATGGCTAAATGGATAGCATTGGGGGCCTCTCTCCCTTTGTCTCCTTCCTCAAATGTGTTTCTGTTTTTGTGTGTCTTGTGTGTGTGTATTTTGGTGTAGGAACAAAACCGTGCTCTTGATCTGGAGCGGATCGAGGGTACCGCCTCAGTTGGCGCCCACATTGCGCATGTGGTGCGGATCGGCGGCGGTGGGCGCCAGTGGGCGGCGCTTGAGGCAGACCTTGAAGGCCTCCGGCGTGATGGTGGCCCCCACGTTGCCCTTCAGACTCGGCAGCGGCTGACCCTCGGGCAGGGCAATGTCGAAGCAGTGCATGAAGGAGGCGAAGAACAGAAAGAGCTCCATCCGCGCCAGCACATCGCCCAGGCACATCCGCCTGCCCACGCCGAAGGGGATGAAGTACTCCGGCTTGCGCACCTTGCCCTCGGTGTCGATGAACCGCGATGGCCGGAACTCCTCGGGCTTCTCCCACAGATTGGGGTCCATGTGGACGCTGTTGATCAGCGGGATGACATGCGAGCCGGCCGGTATGGTGTACCCATTGAGCTCCACATCCCTGTTCAAACGAGAGGCGGGGGGTAGACAGGAAGGGGAAAGCTGTGATTAGTTTTGTGATCCACGTTTTTGTGCATCGCTGATTATCAGCTAGGGGCTGGGCCCACTGCCCACTGCGCACTGCGCACTGCCACTAATCTACTAAAATGAAAAGTGGGCCACGCACTGGGTGAGCCAGCTGAATGGGGAGCTGCAAGCTGGGCAGCCACGACAATGAATGGCAATCGCCGAGATCTGGTGTGAATGAACGGACCTCGCGGCATTTGCGTAGATCTTTACGACCCAATGCGTAAGCACTTCATCTGCTGATAGCTCCTCCAGCTTCCCCACTGCTCTAATCTCAATCCCAAACCCAATCGCAATCCCCTAATCTCGATCGATGCTTACCTTGTGGGCGAGTGTGTGGTGGCAAGGGGAACAATGCTGGATCTACGCATCGATTCCAGGATGGTGGACTCGGTAATGGGCAGGTACTGCAGATCCTCGATGGTGGGCAGGCGATGGCGTCCCACCACCTGGTCCAGTTCGTCCTGGACGCGTCGCATCTCCTTGGGATTGCGCAGCATGAACACATTGATCCACAGCAGCGTGGTCTTGATGGTCTCCATGCCGGCGGAGAACAGATCGATGATCACCTGGACCATTTGCTCCTCTGCAAGAAGCCAAAGCAAGACAAGGATTCAACGGTCAGTGTGACTCAAATTTAAAGTTGCTTAAGCATTTAGAAAAAAATTAAAAAAAGTGAAAGGAAGACTCCAACTTACCATGATTTTTGCCATCGAAGAGCTCGGCATCGGTGCCCTCGGCCTTGGCCTTCTCAATTTCACAGAGATAGAAGTCCACCAGATCACGGATATTGCTGGGATCAAAGCTGCGCTTGTGGTCATCGATCACGTCCTGGTAGAATCGCTGCATCTCGGCCCGATTCTGGGCAATCTTGTTCTTGGCCGTCGAAATGCTGGGGAAGCACTGCATGGTGGGTATGTAGTCGACGGTGTGGATCTCGCCAAAGAGCCGCATGCCCTCCTCGATCAGGAAGTTGAAGCGCCGGAACTTGGGGTCATCGATGCTGAACCGGGTGGACATCATCAGGCTGCAGATCACATTGCTCACGGCCACCGAGATGACGGGCGACATGTCCACGGGCTGGCCATCGCTGGCATGCAGATGGCCGATAAACTCATGCACTTCCGTCTGTTTCGGTGAGAAGGAAGGAAGGAAGGGGGGAAAAGGGCGTTACTGGCTGCTCCACGGACTGCTGGTCGGGATTAGCTGAACTCACCATGATGCGCTTCTGCATCTGCTGCTTGCCGTTGCCCATGTAGGTCATTCCAAACTGGCGAAGCTTGTCGTGCAGAAAGCGACGTTGATCCTTCCACAGTTTGCCAGTGCTGTTGATAATGCCTGCAAGCGGATAGGGATCTTATCTTTATTTCTGATTTTTTATGTCGCTATTTGTGGCATTTAATTGAGGTAGGCTGCCCCACTTTGCCAATTGTTTGCAAACGAAATACCAGAGAAGAAATCCCAGCAAAAACAAAAAAAAAACGAAACGAAACAAAAGCCTGGAATGCCTTATCATTCAGTACATTTTTATATATATAAATTTAATAAGTGCAGCTAAAGGCAATCGAAATCGAAATAAAATTAAGACGGGTGAAAAAAAAATAATATGAAAATAAAATCGAAAATCAAAAATCAAAAATCAAAGAGAGTGCGGAAAGAAAATAAACCGCCGACAAAGAAATGCCAGCGGAATTTCTTCACTTAATTGGGGGCTTTTAAGGCATGATTATTCTGTGCAATCTCACTACAATCTCACTACAGGTACTGCATACTATATATATATATATATACATATATATGCATACTATATATCTGGACTTGGCTCCCGCCGCCCTGATGCCTTGATAACTTTTTGCCTTGGCAGCGTTTTGAAGGGAAAATATTTACGGGTAGCACGTAGTAAACAGAGTAGTAAAAACTAATTTGTCTAAAAATAATAGATGTGTGGGCTATTATCAGGTGCCTGGTTATATCATAACCAACTGACCAGCTATTTGGACCAAAACTTACCGTATCCGTTGAGGGTCTGCATGAAGGGAGTGTCCGGGCGGCCGGTGAACTCCTCGCGCCGGAAGCACTCGCGGATCATCTTGTAGTCGCTCATCACGACGGTCAGCTGGCTGCCCAGTCGCGTGGAGAATAGCGATCCGTAGCGCTTGGCCAGCTCCATGAAGCGGGTGTGCTTCTCGTTGCCCATGAACAGCAGGTAACCGATGACGGGCAGTCCCCACGGCCCCGGCGGCAGCTTGCGCAGCTCGCGGTAGTTCCTCACCAGCCACTGGAGCAGACTGACCAGGGCCAGCAGGCCCAGGAAGACCATCAGCAGGTGCTGGGCATCGCCATCCTGCTGCACCTGCAGCTGCCGCAGCACGAACTTGATCAGGTACGAGTCGGCCAGCATGGTGATCGTTGGATCCTTTTCGATCTTTTCGCTTTTAAACGGGGCTTCCTGCCGATCTTGTGGCTTTTGGGTTTTGTGGGCTTAGTTGGGCTTAGTTAGCTTAGTTAGCTCGCTAATTTCCCCTGCGCTTGATTGCTGTTGTCTCTTATTTACTGCACTCCTCGGCCATTGGTCACTTTTGCTTTTACTCGCTTTTGACTGGCACTTGAACAAAAAATGTTTGGGTATAGGCGCCAACAAAAATACAAAACAAAAAAAAAATATAACAAATAAAATATATATTTATATTTATATTTATTTGTGGCGTAACGAAACGAAACGAAACGAAAACTGTTTGTTGATTGACGCTTTTTGTGCGGGTTACGGAGTCGAAATCGAAGGCGAAGTCGAAGTCGATGTCGGAGACGGAGACCCGGAGACGATTTCGCGTCGAGCGTTTATAGTTTTCGACTAATGGCTCGACCGTATGTCCTTGCCACTTTTATAACAACTCGAGCCCGCTTCGAGCGCGCGATTGAGCGAGCGAGCAGAGCGCCAAAGCCAAACGAGTGATCGTGATCGACGGCGATCGAAGCGCGCTCGGCTTCGGCTTCTCGGCGGAACCACCACGACCGCCGCCTCAGCCGTCGAAACCGCCGAAGCCGTCGATGCCGCCGAAACCGTCGAAGCCGCCGAAGTCGTCGAAGCCGCCGAAGCCGCCGAAACCGCCTCACCTCGCCGCCGCAGCTCTTCAGTTTCAGCTTCAGTTTCAGCTTTAGCTTTAGCTTCAGCTTCAGCCTCAGTGCTCCAGAGCTTCAGCGTAAGCCTCAACCTCAGCTCTTCAGCTCCACGTCTGTTTTGGGGTCTGTACGCTCTGGCTGTTGCCTCTGACTTTGGCTCGACGCCGGCAGAGGCCCACTATGCTCTGCCCGCCGTCTCAGAATCTTGCGAGAGTAAGGGGGGCGGGGGGTGTGTGTGTGTGGGGGGGGGGTGTTTGCCCTCTGCCCTCTGCCACCGCTGCCACTCCCCTCCTGCTCATGGAACACAAGCTCTCTAGACGAAGCAGCGCCAAACAGTTCAACAAGTTCCAACCTACAACCGAAAACACCCCTCGACACCCCCCAACCACCCCTTCATACCATACTCCTCCACAATCACTCGGTTGCATCGAGCAGCGCACGGCAAACAAGCCAGCATCGAACCCAGCGCAACATGTTCGAGCGATCCATTCGGTTTGAGTGGAACGAAACAGAGAGGCACTCAAGAGATCGCACAGTCAACAACTCTCACTCTCTCTTTCTCTTAGTTAGCCAGGTAGAAATTCAATGATTTTAGAGACTTATTTAATTATTTTTTAAAAACTAATTATAAAATAATCCTAAAATCCTCCTTATAGGTATTAAAATTGGTTTAAATGAGTTTAAAGTCCTAACTTTAATTGCAATAGTCATTTCATATTAATAACTTTATATTAATTTCCTTTAAGACTCCAAAATCTTCTATCTGATTTTGTATTTAAGAAGTACTTCCTTTTGGGTATTTTGATAAGTTTATAGCCTTTCAAAACTTGCTACTTTCACACTCTTCCTTAAGTCATTCTAATAAATGATCATTTGCAATCTTCAATAACGCGACAATCTCTTTCGTCTGCATAAACATTCTAGAATTGTGTTTCTTAATTATTGTTAAGTATTATTTAAAAAAGTTTATAGTTTTTCAAAATATTATTTCCGCACTGATTTAATTATGAATCTAATTACATATTATTTACATGTATTAGCAGGTCTAAAATCTTTTTTCTGTTTTACTATTTTAGAAGTTTTCTTCTTAATGGGAATTAAAACGATTATATTACTTTTCAAAACTTTAGACTTAAGATTCCTAACGTAGTTAAAACCCCATATTTTCGTAATTTAATTCAAAATAATCGAACTGTTAAATTTGTATAAAAATATTTAAACAACATAATTGCTTCCAATCTTTCTTTCTTACTGCGATTTACATTTTGACAAAAATAAAAACAGTTTACTAGTCAAACATTTTTTAATAAATATAATAACTGAATAACTGAAATATTTTTTCTTTTAACCATATTTGTCCATATACAAAAATGCATTAGATCTTTAAAGCCCAATTAAAAAGTAGTGCTCATTAAGAAGCCTGTATCTTAAGTTCTATACATTAAGTAGAAAATTAATAAATTTTTGTACTTACATGTATTCGTGCATCAGTTGAATTACTTTAAGCTTTCTGAACTGATTCGAAAAGGTTGCAAATCTGTGAAAGTGATTTCCTCACATATTGCCACGCCGACCGGAAAACTACTGTGATACGATATGGTAATGGATTCGAACCGATAGGTAAATGGCGGCTTTATAAAGAGCACCCGAAGAGCCGCAAGGCGGAAGCTGCTGCACCGGAGACGGAGACCTCATCCGCGGATCATCATCTGCAGCTCGGGCCACGCGGAATCGAAAGACCGAAATCCAATGCAAATTTGCATTTTGGGTCAATAGCGAAGCCTTCGACGAGTAATCGCCGATCTAGATCTAGAGTGGGGGCTCGAAATTAAGCTGGAATGATGGAACACTGGACACTGGAACTCCCACAGGCCGTTCAACGGGTTTCTGGATCTCAATTTGAAGCTTTTTGGCGTGACGTCAACGGCTTGCAGTGTATATTCAAGTTCAGAATCGATTGTTAATAATCAACATAACGAAATAAACCATCGAATAACAATAACAGACACCCATTTGAGCTCATTTTCGGAATTCGGAATTCAAAATTCAAATTCAAATGCATCTGTAATCAATTCTGCAGAAATTTCTGTTTTGTTTCAATTCGTTTTGGCTTTTGTTTGTTTTCGGCTGTTTTGGCCTTTAATATTCATCTGTTATGCCGGTTCTTTTAGCTTAAGGACAAGGTTCGACCCTCGAACGCTCGTCTGAGCTGACGTCGAATACGGAAAATACGCACAGTCAAAAGACATTTCGAAATACAATATTCATATGCATATGAAAATGTTGTCATTGGAATCGCTTTGGCTTTACTATAAGTTGAGCAAAACCTAAGTCGGGCAAGTCAAGTCGTCGAAGGTTGTCGCAGTGGAAAACCCTAGAAATTTCGATACCTTTGACCCAGTTCTTCTACCTGGAATCGCTCAAGGCTTTGTTTTTCATTTTGTTATATGATGGTTTTTTTTTTGTTTTTGGCCCTAGGACGGTGGGTATGCATGGTGGGTGCCATGACAAAAAGCTATGATCCGGTTGTGTCCAGAAACAATTAACAAATATTTATGCAAATTGCAGCTGGTTAAACTTTTTGCTTTTTGAACAATTTATATACTGTTCTGCGGCCAATGAACTAATTTGCATCTGCTCAATTTCGATTCGGCTCTGTTTAATCGCCATTAGAATACCGCAAAATACGAATGACCCGAGATCTGGGGATCTTTGGATCTTTTGATGTTTGGATCGTAACGATCTTTTGCATCTCTGTGTTGTTAGGCAATTGTTCAGTTTTCGTCTCGATTTAGATTCCATTAAAACTGAGATGGCACGAGCCAGAGGAGTAGATGGGGTAGCCAGCACACAGTACCCACAATACAAAATATCCCATGCCCAATCTCCAATTCCCGATTCGATATGCAAAATGCCAAATGTGAAGATGCAAATATCAAGGCCAACACGCGCCAGAGAAACTCGATGAGTAACACAGCTAGGGAATATCGATCTCAATCTCAATCTCAATCTCGAACTCGATCTCGATCCCTTTGCCCTGGAGGCAGGTAAAGATTTCAGATGGCCGGGATTGGGACACAGTGTAGCACAAAGTAGTCATTGAACCCGACTTGCGATCGCCGGCTGCAGCCTACGACTTAGCCTTAGGTTACTAAAACACTATACTGCCTAGGAAATGAAACACGCACAGACACAGACACAGAAACAGAAACAGAAACCGAAAGAACAAGCCACTTGAAATGAGACAATGGCCCCGAGGGTCAATGACTCGAGAGCAGGACCTGTCCACATGCACATCGCAGGCGCAGGCAGCTATGGCTATGCTAAGGATTAACGAAGCAGAGAAATGAAAAACGAGAACAGGAAAACTGTTTCAACGCTCTCATCTAAATGGCCTTGAGTGCGGTCATTGCGTTGCAGAAGTTTCCAGGAACTGCTGCCAAAAGGCTAATGACTGCTAGTCAGTCGCTAGTCGCTGCGAGCAGAACAGAAACAGGCAACTTGGAAACAGGCAACTTGGAAACAGGCAACTTGCAAACAGAAACAGAAACAGAAACAGGCAACTGGTAACAGATCCAGACCCCAATGGAACCCAATCGACTCTACACTAAAAAAATATGATATCTTAGGGGGATTTTGGAAACATGTTGCTTAATTTTGCGAATATATATTTTTAGGTAATAGATTAAGACTTGGCCATATCAAGTGGATCTCGATAAAAAAAATGACATAACAAAATATATTATAAATGTAAATTAAATTATGTAAATTATTATTAAATAAGGAAACAAACAAAACACAAAATCCTATGAGATATATATCATTGTGAACTTGTAAACAATAATATTAAATATGAATTATAGTTATTAAGGAAAACATTACCTTTAACTTAAACCAAGGCTAGAAGGATAAAGTTATCAAATGTAAAGTAACATATTTCACACCTTGTTTAGGTAGTTATTCCCAAAATGAAGGAACATTTTCCTCAGTGTTGGCGTACAGTCACGAAGGGCCTTCAAGGATGCCGCTGGGCAACTCAGCTGGATGACTCACAGTCGAGGTATGCATCAAATCAGGAAATCTGTAGACGGGCCAAGACTTTGCTGGAATGTGAAGAGCTGTTTACTGGACATTGTCCATTGGATATGCGATATGCGATATGCGATGTGGGATAGGGGCCAAAGGATAGTGGCGATTCCAGGAATTGCCGGTGATTCCCACGTGGCAACAGACCTCATCTACGATTGTCATTAATTGTGGACCGACACGTCCGATTTGATAACGTGTTTTCGCCACACGCTCTCATATCTCTCGGTGCGATTTATGCACACTACCAGTATACATATATAGTATAGTGAGTAACATGATTTCACATCGCGTATATTGTACATATAGTACATAGTATATAGTATGTGGGGAAACATTGAATTAATGCGCAAGTAAGACCCGCCAGCGATTGCGAACACAATTCTATCAATATATTCTAATGCGTATTATCTTGCAAGCACCCTATCTAAGGTATGTGGTATGTGGGAATTTAGAATGCGTCAATTTCTATGGTCGGGTGTATTTTCTGCTCTGCGATATTGAGTACTCTCTGCGGGAAGTAAGAGTATCGCATCTTCGATGTCGCTTTGCTCCTTGGCTCGTGATGCAATATTTAGAATTGTTTTCTGATGCTGACGGCGATGCTTTAATGCGCGGCACGACCTTGGCAAACCGAACAAAGCACCATTCTA